GGGGCCGAGGCGCTGGACGGCCTCTCCCCTCCCCGGGCTCCGGCCTCCCCGACCCATCTGCCGGGTCCCGGCGGGCGGGGACTGCGGCGCTGTGGCGCGGCCCCTGGCCGGGAAGGGGTTAAATTCCTGGGGCGGGGGCGCCGGCGTGAGAGGCTGAGGTCCTGCCTGGCACCGGCAGAGGGGGGCGCTTTCCTGCGCTCGGGACCCGGACGGCGCCGCCCTCGGGCTGGGTGATGGGGGGAGGGAAGGGGGAGTCGGATTCCCGCCTGGGCCTTGGGCCACGTGGGCGCTGGAGCCGCCCAGACGCGGGATTCGGGATGGCCCAGGCCAGGGGCTGGGGGAGCCCAGAGCCTCGGTCCAAACTCCTGTGTGACCTTGGCCGGCCAACTGCCCTCTCTGGGTCTGTTTCCCGGGGAAAGAGGTGAGGCGTGAACCCAGAGGTGCTTCCCCAGACACTCCCTCCCCACCGAGAAGCCTGGAGGTCAAGCCTGTGCCCACGTGCTCAGTCTGGGCCCACCCAGGGCTGCCCAGCTGTAGAAGGATCGGTGGCAACTGGGGGAGCAGAGGACGCTCTGGGCTCACTGGGGCCTTCCCTGGAAGCTTGGAGGCAGGGACTGGAGCCTGTGGCTTCCCGCCAGGAAGGCAGGGACCCCTCAGGTGTAGGAGTCTCTGACCATTGTGTGTCTCACACGGGTCCCTGGCACCTGGTCTCCCCCCAGCCTGACTTGGGGTTAGGGTTTGAGGACATGAAACCCCCTTGCCGTAGGGGTGCCCAGCCACCCCAATGGCCCTGTGTCTTAACTGGAGGGGTTGGCTTGGGGGTAGGGGTATGTGGCTGCAGCTGGCATGGCCAGATGAGGGGAATACACAGCTTCAGGGAACTGGCACGTTAGGCCGGGCATGGGAAGGCCAGCACAGCTGGTGGGCACTGCCGGACAGAGGTGGGATGGGGCAGCTGGCTCTGCTGGGGGGCTGCTGGTTACAGGCTCCCCGCCTCTCTGTGCTGGTCAGGGGGGTGCAGTCAGCACACCTGATCGGAACCCCCTGGGCTCCCCAGGGCCAGGGAAGGTGCTGACTTGGCTGGGGTACTTCCTACCTTAAGAGTGGCCTCTGGAGCAGCACTTGCCCTGCTAGGCCAGAGGGCTGGAGCTAGGCCTCACCTGGGCCCGAGGGGGCAAGTCTGCACAGGGACGCCTGTCCTTTCCCATGCAGGCGGGTACTGGAGGGCGGTCCATAAATGGAGAGCAGCGAGTTCTGGGGACCTGGGGACCTGGGGCTTGGGGAGGGCTTC